TCGCTCCTCCGCCCTCCGTTGTTGTTGGAGGGCGACTGCCTCCAACTGCCCAGTAGCATCCTTCACGAGCCTCCTCCACAGAGGCCGATCTTGACACCGCTGGTACCAGTCATCGGCAAGTCCACTCAGCTCCACGTCCTCCTGTACCACATCACTCCATCTCTTCTCTAGCCCGTGCCGCGCCCGTTTAGCCCCCTCGATCCGTCCAAACAAAAGCTGTTTCGGCATGCGGTGGCTGGGCATGCGGGCTACATGACCCAGCCATCGCAGCCTTGCCCGCCGGAGGAGCTCACCGATGGGACCTTGCCCAGATCTGTCAAGGATTTGTGAGCTCCTCACACAATCCAGTCTGGTTAAACCCAGGATGGATCGTAGGCAGGCCAGCCTAAATGTTTCTAACCGGCGAAGATGTTCCATTAGGGGGGTCCACGTTTCGCAAGCATAGAGAAGGGAGGGAATGACCGTGGCCGAGAAGACCTGAAGCTTAGTGCAGAGCGACAGACCAGGTAGCTTCCACACAGCGTTACGCAACCGATGAAAAGATATTGCCGCTCAACTGATTCTGAGTGAGACCTCTGCTGTTAAACTGGAGCCGGTCAGGTATGGGAAACTCTCCACTCTCTCCACAACTGCCCCATCACCGATTGGTGGGGGTGGAGTGTCCGATAGTACAAAATACCCAGGCAGGTGCTTAGTTTTGGTGGGGCTGATGGTAAGGCCCCACCACTTAGTGGCACGCTCCAGTCTCAGGAGCAGCGTCTCCAACTCCTCCTCTGAATGAGCAGCTATTACCAAATCATCGGCATACATGAAGTGGTTGACCAATAGGGAGCCATCCCTTGACCGCACCCGGGCATCGATCAGCCTCCCATTTTATCTGTACCAGATGGAGATTCCCCCGGTACAGCTATTGAAAGCTTCACGAACTACGTGGTCAAAATAGATGTTAAATAATGTGGGCGCCAGAGGACATCCCTGTCGCACCCCAAGGTGTACAGGGAATGGCTCTGACTCCCGGCCACGTAGTTTTATCCGGGCCTGCTCACCATCATGAAGGTCCTTAATGATCGTGAGCAGAGGGTCAGGTACTCCAAAAGCACGAAGAACAACCCAGAGCCCAGGCCTACTGATGGTATCACAGGCCTTGACCAGGTCAATAAAGCAGAGATGTAGGTCTTGTTGGAATTCCCTACACCTCTGCTGTAGCAGACGGACAAAAAATATGGCATCTGTGCAGGACCGCCCTTTCCTGAAACCGCATTGGGGCTCCGCAAGCCTCTCCTCAGCGTGCCTGGCGAGGCGATGTTGAATAATCCTTGCCAGGACCTTTCCCGGCAACACTGAGGAGTGAGATGCCCCTGTAGTTGTTACAGTCTGTGCGGTCCCCCTTCTTAAAGAGGGGGACCACCAGGGCATCCTTCCAATCCTGCGGAACCCGTCCAGTGGTCCAGACTGTTGGTATGATGTCATATAGGGCAGTCTGTGCACAAACGCCACCCTCCCTCAGCATTTCGCTTGGGAGATCATCTCTGCCCGCTGCCTTTCCTGGTCTCAGACTCCGGATCGCCCTCAGTACTTCCTCAACAGATGGCACCTCAGCCAGCCACTCACAGGGGGTGACTTCTTCCAATATTTGAGGCACCGCAGCCTCAGCAGGGTCATCCTCACTTTGTGCCACGATGTTTTCCTGGCTGAGGGATTTTCCCTTCCCCCAGGACCTCACAGAAATGCTCAGCAAATCTGCAAACCTGTTCCTGGGGGTCGGAGATTGGATCACCGTTCTTTCCCCTAATGATGGTAATAGGTGTGGCGCTGCAGGTTACTTTTAAGATGGAGTTAAATAGAGATTTGTGATCGCGGGCCACTGAGGCAGACTCCATCTCCTCAGCAACCCGCGACCACCACCCATCCTTGCAGCGCCTCACGGCTCTCCGAACCTCCGAGCGAAGGCTGCGGTAAGCCTCCTCATTCTCTGACGTGGGATTCTGTAGCCGATAACAGTGGGCCTGTCGCTTTTTCTCAACCATCCTGAACAACTCCTCTGTCAGCCAGGGTCTCTGGGGAGGTCTGGACCGCGTACCCAAAGCAGCCATTGCAGCTGCATGAGTCACAGTCCTAAACCTCGCCCATTTACCCTCGACATCAGGAGGAGTGGGGGACGATGCCAACCCCAGCCGCAAGCGATGATGAAATTCTCGCTTGCAACTTTCATCAGATAACTGAGACCAGGCCAATACTACTGATGATGATGATGATACTACTGATGATGATGATGATACTTCTACTGATGATGATGATGATATTTCTACTGATGATGATGATGATGATTGATACTACTACTGATGATGATGATGATACTACTGCTTATGATGATGATACTACTACTGATGATGATGATGATGATACTACTGACGATGATGATGATACTACTGCTGATGATGATGATACTACAACTGATGATGTTGATGATACTACTGATGATGATGATACTACGGATAATGTTGATGATACTACTGATGATGATGATGATACTACTGATAATGTTGATGATACTACTGATGATGATACTACTACTGATGATGATGATGATACTACTACTGATGATGATGATGATACTACTACTGATGATGATGATACTACTACTGATGATGATGATGATGATACTACTACTGATGATGCTGATGATGATACTACTACTGATGATGATGATACTACTACTGATGATGATGATGATACTACTGATTATTATGATGATGATGCAGAGATCCCAGGCGAGGCAAGAGGCGTTGAAGTCTCTCCAGCGGTCTGAGAGAATCTGCAATACCCTCAGTGCTATCGGCAAAGAGAAATTCGAAGAAAGGTGATGATGGTGGTGGTGATGGTGGTGGTGGTGATGGTGGTGGTGGTGATGGTGGTGATGGTGGTGATGATGGTGGTGGTGGTGGTTGTGGTGGTGGTGATGGTCGTGATGGTGGTGATGGTGGTGGTGATGGTGGTGGTGGTGGTGGTGATGGTGGTGATGGTGGTGGTGATGGTGGTGATGGTGGTGGTGATGGTGGTGATGGTGGTGGTGGTGAGTGACTGACTGACTGACTGACTGAGTGACTGACTATCTGACTAACTAACTGACTGACTAACTGACTGACTAACTAACTCACTAACTAACTAACTGATTAACTAACTGACTAACTAACTGACTATCTGACCAACTGACTAACTGACTAACTAATTGACTGAGTGACTGACTGACTGACTGAGTGACTGACTGAGTGACTGACTGACTGGCTAACTGACTGACTAACTGACTAACTAACTGACTGACTGACTGAGTAACCGAGTGACTGACTGAGTGACTGACTAACTAACTAACTAACTGACTAACTGACTGACTAAATAACTGACTAACTAACTGACTGACTAACTGACTGACTAACTAACTAACTGACTAACTGACTGAGTGACTGACTGAGTAACTGACTGACGGAGTGACTGACTGAGTGACTAACTAACTGACTGACTGACCAACTAACTAACTGACTAACTTACTACCTAACTGACTAACTAACTGACTAACTAACTAACTGACTAACTGACTAACTAAGTGACTAACTGACTGACTGCCTGAGTGACTGACTGACTGACTGACTAATCCTCTCCCCTCCTCCCCCACAGGATCGTGATTGCTCTCTCCCAGAAAGCGACTGATGCCTCTTTTGAGCAAATCCTCGAGATCGCTAACAGGATGTCCCGAGGCCTTGCGAGGTGTTGTGAGCAAGGCAATAACGTGGGGTGCCTGATGGATCATGTAAGTAGTCACCCAGTCAGTCACTCAGTCAGTCAGTCACCTAGTCAGTCACCTAGTCAGTCAGTCGCTCAGTCAGTGATGTCCCGAGGCCTTGCGAGGTGCTGTGAGCAAGGCAATAACGTGGGATGCCTGATGGATCATGTAAGTAGTCACCCAGTCAGTCACTCAGTCAGTCAGTCACCTAGTCAGTCAGTCAGTCATTCAGTCAGTCAGTCACCCAGTCAGTCACTCAGTCAGTCACTCAGTCAGTCAGTCAGCCACTCAGTCAGTAACTCAGTCAGTAACTCAGTCAGTCAGTCAGTCAGTCACTCAGCCACTCACTGAGTCACTCAGTCAGTCACTCAGTCACTCAGTCAGTCACTCAGTCAGTCACTCAGTCACTCAGTCACTCACTCACTCAGTCACTCAGTGAGTCACTCAGTCACTCAGTCAGTCACTCACTGAGTCACTCACTCACTCAGTCAGTCAGTCACTCAGTCAGTCAGTCACCTAGTCAGTCACCTAGTCAGTCACCTAGTCAGTCAGTCGCTCAGTCAGTGATGTCCCGAGGCCTTGCGAGGTGCTGTGCGCAAGGCAATAACGTGGGATGCCTGATGGATCATGTAAGTAGTCACCCAGTCAGTCACCCAGTCAGTCAGTCACCTAGTCAGTCACCTAGTCAGTCACCTAGTCAGTCAGTCGCTCAGTCAGTGATGTCCCGAGGCCTTGCGAGATGTTGTGAGCAAGGCAATAACGTGGGGTGCCTGATGGATCATGTAAGTAGTCACCCAGTCAGTCACTCAGTCAGTCAGTCACCTAGTCAGTCACCTAGTCAGTCACCTAGTCAGTCAGTCGCTCAGTCAGTGATGTCCCGAGGCCTTGCGAGGCGCTGTGAGCAAGGCAATAACGTGGGGTGCCTGATGGATCATGTAAGTAGTCACCCAGTCAGTCACTCAGTCAGTCAGTCACCTAGTCAGTCACCTAGTCAGTCAGTCGCTCAGTCAGTGATGTCCCGAGGCCTTGCGAGGTGTTGTGAGCAAGGCAATAACGTGGGGTGCCTGATGGATCATGTAAGTAGTCACCCAGTCAGTCACTCAGTCAGTCAGTCACCTAGTCAGTCACCTAGTCAGTCACCTAGTCAGTCAGTCGCTCAGTCAGTGATGTCCCGAGGCCTTGCGAGGTGCTGTGAGCAAGGCAATAACGTGGGATGCCTGATGGATCATGTAAGTAGTCACTCAGTCAGTCACTCAGTCAGTCAGTCACCTAGTCAGTCACCTAGTCAGTCAGTCGCTCAGTCAGTGATGTCCCGAGGCCTTGCGAGGTGCTGTGAGCAAGGCAATAACGTGGGGTGCCTGATGGATCATGTAAGTAGTCACCCAGTCAGTCACTCAGTCAGTCAGTCACCTAGTCAGTCACCTAGTCAGTCACCTAGTCAGTCAGTCGCTCAGTCAGTGATGTCCCGAGGCCTTGCGAGGTGTTGTGAGCAAGGCAATAACGTGGGATGCCTGATGGATCATGTAAGTAGTCACCCAGTCAGTCACTCAGTCAGTCAGTCACCTAGTCAGTCACCTAGTCAGTCACCTAGTCAGTCAGTCGCTCAGTCAGTGATGTCCCGAGGCCTTGCGAGGTGTTGTGAGCAAGGCAATAACGTGGGGTGCCTGATGGATCATGTAAGTAGTCACCCAGTCAGTCACTCAGTCAGTCAGTCACCTAGTCAGTCACCTAGTCAGTCAGTCGCTCAGTCAGTGATGTCCCGAGGCCTTGCGAGGTGTTGTGAGCAAGGCAATAACGTGGGGTGCCTGATGGATCATGTAAGTAGTCACCCAGTCAGTCACCCAGTCAGTCAGTCACCTAGTCAGTCACCTAGTCAGTCACCTAGTCAGTCAGTCGCTCAGTCAGTGATGTCCCGAGGCCTTGCGAGGTGCTGTGCGCAAGGCAATAACGTGGGATGCCTGATGGATCATGTAAGTAGTCACCCAGTCAGTCACTCAGTCAGTCAGTCACCTAGTCAGTCACCTAGTCAGTCAGTCGCTCAGTCAGTGATGTCCCGAGGCCTTGCGAGGTGTTGTGAGCAAGGCAATAACGTGGGATGCCTGATGGATCATGTAAGTAGTCACCCAGTCAGTCACTCAGTCAGTCAGTCACCCAGTCAGTCACCTAGTCAGTCACCTAGTCAGTCAGTCGCTCAGTCAGTGATGTCCCGAGGCCTTGCGAGGTGTTGTGAGCAAGGCAATAACGTGGGATGCCTGATGGATCATGTAAGTAGTCACCCAGTCAGTCACTCAGTCAGTCAGTCACCTAGTCAGTCACCTAGTCAGTCACCTAGTCAGTCAGTCGCTCAGTCAGTGATGTCCCGAGGCCTTGCGAGATGTTGTGAGCAAGGCAATAACGTGGGATGCCTGATGGATCATGTAAGTAGTCACCCAGTCAGTCACTCAGTCAGTCAGTCACCTAGTCAGTCACCTAGTCAGTCACCTAGTCAGTCAGTCGCTCAGTCAGTGATGTCCCGAGGCCTTGCGAGGTGCTGTGAGCAAGGCAATAACGTGGGATGCCTGATGGATCATGTAAGTAGTCACCCAGTCAGTCACTCAGTCAGTCAGTCACCTAGTCAGTCACCTAGTCAGTCACCTAGTCAGTCAGTCGCTCAGTCAGTGATGTCCCGAGGCCTTGCGAGGTGTTGTGAGCAAGGCAATAACGTGGGATGCCTGATGGATCATGTAAGTAGTCACCCAGTCAGTCACTCAGTCAGTCAGTCACCTAGTCAGTCACCTAGTCAGTCAGTCGCTCAGTCAGTGATGTCCCGAGGCCTTGCGAGGTGCTGTGCGCAAGGCAATAACGTGGGATGCCTGATGGATCATGTAAGTAGTCACCCAGTCAGTCACTCAGTCAGTCAGTCACCTAGTCAGTCACCTAGTCAGTCACCTAGTCAGTCAGTCGCTCAGTCAGTGATGTCCCGAGGCCTTGCGAGGTGTTGTGAGCAAGGCAATAACGTGGGATGCCTGATGGATCATGTAAGTAGTCACTCAGTCAGTCACCCAGTCAGTCATCCAGTCAGTCACCCAGTCACTCAGTCAGTCACTCAGTCAGTCAGTCACCCAGTCAGTCACTCAGTCAGTCACTCAGTCAGTCAGTCAGCCACTCAGTCAGTAACTCAGTCAGTAACTCAGTCAGTCAGTCAGTCAGTCAGTCACTCAGCCACTCACTGAGTTACTCAGTCAGTCACTCAGTCACTCAGTCAGTCACTCAGTCAGTCACTCAGTCACTCAGTCACTCACTCACTCAGTCACTCAGTGAGTCACTCAGTCACTCAGTCAGTCACTCACTGAGTCACTCACTCACTCAGTCAGTCAGTCACTCAGTCAGTCAGTCACCTAGTCAGTCACCTAGTCAGTCACCTAGTCAGTCAGTCGCTCAGTCAGTGATGTCCCGAGGCCTTGCGAGGTGCTGTGAGCAAGGCAATAACGTGGGATGCCTGATGGATCATGTAAGTAGTCACTCAGTCAGTCACTCAGTCAGTCAGTCACCTAGTCAGTCACCTAGTCAGTCAGTCGCTCAGTCAGTGATGTCCCGAGGCCTTGCGAGGTGCTGTGAGCAAGGCAATAACGTGGGGTGCCTGATGGATCATGTAAGTAGTCACCCAGTCAGTCACTCAGTCAGTCAGTCACCTAGTCAGTCACCTAGTCAGTCACCTAGTCAGTCAGTCGCTCAGTCAGTGATGTCCCGAGGCCTTGCGAGGTGTTGTGAGCAAGGCAATAACGTGGGATGCCTGATGGATCATGTAAGTAGTCACCCAGTCAGTCACTCAGTCAGTCAGTCACCTAGTCAGTCACCCAGTTACTCAGTCAGTCATTCAGTCAGTCAGTCACCCAGTCAGTCACTCAGTCAGTCACTCAGTCAGTCAGTCAGCCACTCAGTCAGTAACTCAGTCAGTAACTCAGTCAGTCAGTCAGTCAGTCACTCAGCCACTCACTGAGTCACTCAGTCAGTCACTCAGTCACTCAGTCAGTCACTCAGTCAGTCACTCAGTCACTCAGTCACTCACTCACTCAGTCACTCAGTGAGTCACTCAGTCACTCAGTCAGTCACTCACTGAGTCACTCACTCACTCAGTCAGTCAGTCACTCAGTCAGTCAGTCACCTAGTCAGTCACCTAGTCAGTCACCTAGTCAGTCAGTCGCTCAGTCAGTGATGTCCCGAGGCCTTGCGAGGTGCTGTGAGCAAGGCAATAACGTGGGATGCCTGATGGATCATGTAAGTAGTCACCCAGTCAGTCACTCAGTCAGTCAGTCACCTAGTCAGTCACCTAGTCAGTCACTCAGTCAGTCACTCAGTCACCTAGTCAGTCACCTAGTCAGTCACTCAGTCAGTCACTCAGTTAGTCAGTCAGTCACCCAGTCAGTCACTCAGCCAGTCACCCAGTCAGTCAGTCACCTAGTCAGTGACTCAGTCAGTCACTCAGTCACTCAGTCAGTCAGTCAGTCACCTAGTCAGTCACTCAGTCAGTCACTCAGTCAGTCAGTCACCTAGTCAGTCACCTAGTCAGTCACTCAGTCAGTCACTCAGTTAGTCAGTCAGTCACCCAGTCAGTCACTCAGCCAGTCACCCAGTCAGTCAGTCACCTAGTCAGTGACTCAGTCAGTCACTCAGTCAGTCAGTCACCTAGTCAGTCACCTAGTCAGTCACCTAGTCAGTCAGTCGCTCAGTCAGTGATGTCCCGAGGCCTTGCGAGGTGCTGTGCGCAAGGCAATAACGTGGGGTGCCTGATGGATCATGTAAGTAGTCACCCAGTCAGTCACTCAGTCAGTCAGTCAGTCAGTCACCTAGTCAGTCACCTAGTCAGTCAGTCGCTCAGTCAGTGATGTCCCGAGGCCTTGCGAGGTGTTGTGAGCAAGGCAATAACGTGGGATGCCTGATGGATCATGTAAGTAGTCACCCAGTCAGTCACTCAGTCAGTCAGTCACCTAGTCAGTCACCTAGTCAGTCACCTAGTCAGTCAGTCGCTCAGTCAGTGATGTCCCGAGGCCTTGCGAGATGCTGTGAGCAAGGCAATAACGTGGGGTGCCTGATGGATCATGTAAGTAGTCACCCAGTCAGTCACTCAGTCAGTCACCCAGTCACTCACCCAGTCAGTCACCCAGTCACTCAGTCAGTCATTCAGTCAGTCAGTCACCCAGTCAGTCACTCAGTCAGTCACTCAGTCAGTCAGTCAGCCACTCAGTCAGTAACTCAGTCAGTAACTCAGTCAGTCAGTCACCCAGTCAGTCACTCAGTCACTCAATCAGTTAGTCAGTTTGTCAGTCACTCAGTCACTCAGTTAGTCAGTGAGTTAGTCAGTCAGTTAGGCACTCAGTCACTCAGTCACTCAGTCAGTCACTCAGTCACTCACTCAGCTAGTCACTCAGTCAGTGACCCAGTCAGTCAGTCACCCAGTCAGTCACTCAGTCAGTCACTAAGTCAGTTTGTCAGTCACTCAGTTAGTCAGTCAGTTAGTCAGTCAGTTAGGCACTCAGTCACTCAATCAATCAGTCAGTCACTCAGTCACTCAGTCAGTTACTCAGTCAGCCACTCAGTCAGTAACTCAGTCACTCACTCAGTTAGTCAGTTTGTCAGTCACTCAGTCAGTCACTCAGTCACTCACTCAGTTAGTCAGTTTGTCAGTTACTCAGTCAGTCACTCAGTCAGTCAGTTAGTCACTCAGCCAGTCACTCAGTCACTCACTCAGTTAGTCAGTTAGTCAGTTTGTCAGCCACTCAGTCAGTTAGTCAGTTAGTTAGTTAGTCAGTCAGTTAGTCAGTCAGTTAGTTAGTCAGTTAGTTAGTCAGTCAGTTAGTCAGTTAGTCAGTCAGTCACTCAGTCGCTCAGTCAGTCAGTCAGTTAGTTAGTCAGTCAGTTAGTTAGTCAGTCACTCAGTCGCTCAGTCAGTCAGTCAGTTAGTCAGTCAGTTAGTCAGTCAGTCACTCAGTCGCTCAGTCAGTCAGTCAGTTAGTCAGTCAGCCACTCAGTCAGTCAGTCAGTCACTTAGTCACTCACTCAGTTAGTCAGGCACTGAGTGTCTGAGTGAGTGAGTGAGTGACTGCTGACTGATTGAGTGTCTGAGTGAGTGACTGAGTTTGTGACTGACTGAGTGAGTGTCTGAGTGAGTGACTGAGTGACTGACTGAGTGAGTGTCTGAGTGAGTGACTGAGTGACTGAGTGAGTGACTGAATGAGCGAATGTCTGAGTGAGTGACTGAGTTAGTGACTGACTGAGTGAGTGAGTGAGTGACTGATTGACTGAGTGACTGACTGAGTGTCTGAGTGAGTGACTGACTGAGTGACTGACTGAGTGACTGACTGAGTGAGTGACTGAGTGAGTAATTAATTATATCTTTCCCCTTCCTCCCCAATCCCTCCCCAACATCTCCACCCACCTCCACCCTCCCACCATCTCCACCCACCCACCCACCATCTCCACCCCACCCTCCTCCCCACCATCACCACCCACTCACCCCACCATCTCCCTCCCCACCATCTCCACCCCACTCCACCACCTCCACCCACCCACCCACCATCACCACCCACCCACCACCTCCACCCACAATTTCCCTCCCCACCATCTCCACCCCACCCTCCACCCCACCATCACCACCCACCCACCCCACCATCTCCCTCATCACCACCTCCACCCACCACCACCCACCCACCCACCACCCACACCACCCCCACCATCTCCACTCCACCCACCCACCATCTCCACCCACAATCTCCCTCCCCACAATCTCCCACCCCACCACTCTCCACCCCACCATCTCCACTCACCACCACCACCCACCCACCACCTCCACCCACCCACCATCTCCCTCACCACCATCTCCACCCACCCACCCACACCACCCACCACTCCCCACCCACCACCCCACCACTTCCACCCACCTCCACCCACCCACCCACCATCTCCACCCACAATCTCCCTCCCCACAATCTCCCTCCACCCCACTCTCCACCCACCTCCACCCACCTCCACCCACCCACCACCCCCACCCACCCACCATCTCCCTCACCACCATCTCCACCCACCCACCCACACCACCCACCACTCCCCACCCACCACCCCACCACCTCCACCCACCTCCACCCACCCACCCACCATCTCCACCCACAATCTCCCTCCCCACAATCTCCCTCCACCCCACTCTCCACCCCACCATCTCCACTCACCACCATCACCACCCACCACCTCCACCCACCCACCATCTCCCTCACCACCATCTCCACCCACCCACCCACACCACCCACCACTCCCCACCCACCACCCCACCACTTCCACCCACCTCCACCCACCCACCCACCATCTCCACCCCATATCTCCCTCCCCACAATCTCCCTCCCCACAATCTCCCTCCACCCCACTCTCCACCCCACCATCTCCACTCACCACCACCACCCACCCACCACCTCCACCCACCCACCATCTCCCTCACCACCATCTCCACCCACCCACCCACACCACCCACCACTCCCCACCCACCACCCACACCACCCCCACCATCTACACTCCACCCACCCACCATCTCCACCCACAATCTCCCTCCCCATAATCTCCCACCCCACCACTCTCCACCCCACCATCTCCACTCACCACCACCACCCACCCACCACCTCCACCCACCCACCATCTCCCTCACCACCACCTCCACCCACCCACACCACCACCACCCACCCACTCCCCACCCACCACCACCACCCACCCACCCACACCACCCACCACCCACCCACACAAAGCGTCACGCTCTCCACGAGGCAATTTGCTCCACCCCGGACGGCTCTCTCCCTCAATCGGTCGCGGCTTGCTGCAACACCTCCAACACCTCCACCACCACCTCCACCACCACCTCCACCACCACCTCCACCACCACCTCCACCACCACGTCCACCACCTCCACCACCACCGCCGCTGAAATTCGCGACAGCTGCTTTGACAATCTGCAGGCGAACGTGTCACGGGCTCATGCACCCTTCTACTCGAACTCGCAGCTCTGCCTCATGAAGCTTCGCACGCCACACAGATTCCTGGAGAGGTGATGGTTAGGTGTGGGTGGGTGGTGGGTGGGTGTGGGTGGAGTGGGTGGGTGGGTGAGTGGGTGGGTGAGTGAGTGGGTGGGTGGGTGGGTGGGTTAGTGGGTGGGTGGCTGAGTGAGTGAGTGGGTGAGTGAGTGGGTGGGTGAGTGGGTGGATGGGTGGGTGAGTGAGTTGGTGGGTGGGTTAGTGGGTGGGTGAGTGGCTGAGTGAGTGAGTGGGTGAGTGAGTGGGTGGGTGAGTGGGTGGGTGGGTGGGTGAGTGAGTGAGTGAGTGGGTGAGTGAATGGGTGGGTGAGTGGGTGGGTGGGTGAGTGGGTGAGTGGGTGGGTGGGTGGGGTGGGTGGGTGGGTGGGTGGGTGGGCAGCTCTGCCTCATGAAGCTTCGCACGCCACACAGATTCCTGGAGAGGTGATGGTTAGGTGTGGGTGGGTGGTGGGTGGGTGTGGGTGGTGGTGGGTGAGTGGGTGAGTGAGTGAGTGGGTGGGTGGGTGAGTGGGTGGGCAGCTCTGCCTCATGAAGCTTCGCACGCCACACAGATTCCTGGAGAGGTGATGGTTAGGTGTGGGTGGGTGGTGGGTGGAGTGGGTGGAGTGGGTGGGTGGGTGGGTGGGTGAGTGGGTGGGTGAGTGAGTGGGTGGGTGGGTGAGTGGGTGGGCAGCTCTGCCTCATGAAGCTTCGCACGCCACACAGATTCCTGGAGAGGTGATGGTTAGGTGTGGGTGGGTGGTGGGTGGGGTGGGTGGGTGAGTGAGTGGGTGAGTGGGTGGGTGAGTGAGTGAGTGAGTGGGTGGGTGAGTGAGTGAGTGGGTGAGTGGGTGGGTGGGTGAGTGAGTAAGTGGGTGAGTGAGTGAGTGAGTGGGTGAGTGGGTGGGTGGGTGAGTGAGTGGGTGGGTGAGTGGGTGGATGGGTGGGTGAGTGAGTTGGTGGGTGGGTTAGTGGGTGGGTGAGTGGCTGAGTGAGTGAGTGGGTGAGTGAGTGGGTGGGTGAGTGGGTGGGTGAGTGGGTGAGTGAGTGAGTGGGTGAGTGAATGGGTGGGTGAGTGGGTGGGTGAGTGAGTGGGTGGGTGAGTGGGTGAGTGAGTGGGTGGGTGAGTGGGTGGGTGAGTGGGTGGGCAGCTCTGCCTCATGAAGCTTCGCACGCCACACAGATTCCTGGAGAGGTGATGGTTAGGTGTGGGTGGGTGGTGGGTGGGTGGGTGAGTGGGTGGGTGAGTGGGTGAGTGGGTGAGTGGGTGGGTGAGTGGGTGAGTGGGTGAGTGGGTGGGTGAGTGAGTGAGTGGGTGGGTGGGTGGGTGAGTGAGTGAGTGAGTGGGTGGGTGGGTGAGTGGGTGAGTGGGTGAGTGAGTGAGTGGGTGAGTGGGTGGGTGAGTGAGTGGGTGAGTGGGTGAGTGAGTGGGTGGGTGAGTGAGTGGGTGAGTGGGTGCGTGGGTGGGTGAGTGGGTGGGCAGCTCTGCCTCATGAAGCTTCGCACGCCACACAGATTCCTGGAGAGGTGATGGGTTTTTTTGTGTGGGTGGTGGGTGGGTGGGTGGGTGAGTGAGTGAGTGGGTGAGTGGGTGGGTGAGTGGGTGGGTGGGTGAGTGAGTGGGTGGGTGAGTGGGTGAGTGAGTGGGTGAGTGGGTGGGTTAGTGGGTGGGTGAGTGAGTGAGTGGGTGAGTGGGTGAGTGAGTGGGTGGGTGAGTGGGTGAGTGGGTGGGTGAGTGAGTGAGTGGGTGAGTGAGTGGGTGAGTGGGTGGGTGGGTGGGGTGGGTGGGTGGGTGAGTGGGTGGGCAGCTCTGCCTCATGAAGCTTCGCACGCCACACAGATTCCTGGAGAGGTGATGGTTAGGTGTGGGTGGGTGGTGGGTGGGTGGGTGAGTGGGTGAGTGGGTGGGTGAGTGGGTGAGTGGGTGGGTGAGTGAGTGGGTGGGTGAGTGGGTGGGTGAGTGGGTGAGTGAGTGGGTGAGTGGGTGAGTGAGTGAGTGGGTGAGTGAATGGGTGGGTGAGTGGGTGGGTGAGTGAGTGGGTGGGTGAGTGGGTGAGTGAGTGGGTGGGTGAGTGGGTGGGTGAGTGGGTGGGCAGCTCTGCCTCATGAAGCTTCGCACGCCACACAGATTCCTGGAGAGGTGATGGTTAGGTGTGGGTGGGTGGTGGGTGGGTGGGTGGAGTGGGTGGGTGGGTGAGTGGGTGAGTGAGTGGGTGGGTGGGTGGGTGGGTGGGTGGGGTGGGTGGGTGGGGTGGGTGGGTGGGTGAGTGAATGGGTGGGTGAGTGGGTGGGTGAGTGGGTGAGTGGGTGGGTGAGTGAGTGAGTGAGTGGGTGAGTGAGTGGGTGGGTGAGTGGGTGAGTGGGTGAGTGGGTGGGTGAGTGAGTGGGTGAGTGGGTGGGTGGGTGGGGTGGGTGGGTGGGTGGGTGAGTGGGTGGGCAGCTCTGCCTCATGAAGCTTCGCACGCCACACAGATTCCTGGAGAGGTGATGGTTAGGTGTGGGTGGGTGGTGGTGGGTGGAGTGAGTGGGTGGGTGGGTGGGTGAGTGGGTGAGTGGGTGAGTGAGTGGGTGGGTGGGTGGGTGAGTGAGTGGGTGGGTGGGTGAGTGGGTGGGTGGGTGGGTGAGTGGGTGGGTGGGTGGGTGAGTGAGTGGGTGGGTGAGTGAGTGAGTGAGTGGGTGGGTGGGTGAGTGAGTGAGTGGGTGGGTGAGTGAGTGGGTGAGTGAGTGAGTGGGTGGGTGGGTGAGTGGGTGGGTGGGTGAGTGGGTGAGTGAGTGGGTAGGTGGGGAGATGGGTCGGTGGGTGGGTGGGTGAGTGGGTGGGCAGCTCTGCCTCATGAAGCTTCGCACGCCACACAGATTCCTGGAGAGGTGATGGTTAGGTGTGGGTGGGTGGTGGGTGGGTGGGTGGGGTGGGTGGGTGGGTGGGGTGGGTGAGTGGGTGGGTGGGTGAGTGAGTTGGTGGGTGGGTTAGTGGGTGGGTGAGTGGCTGAGTGAGTGAGTGGGTGAGTGAGTGGGTGGGTGAGTGGGTGGGTGGGTGGGTGAGTGGGTGAGTGAGTGGGTGGGTGGGTGGGTGAGTGAGTGGGTGGGTGAGTGGGTGGGTGGGTGGGTGAGTGGGTGGGTGGGTGGGTGAGTGAGTGGGTGGGTGAGTGAGTGAGTGAGTGGGTGGGTGAGTGAGTGAGTGGGTGAGTGGGTGTGTGGGTGGGTGAGTGAGTGGGTGAGTGGGTGAGTAAGTGAGTGAGTGAGTGGGTGGGTGGGTGAGTGGGTGAGTGGGTGGGTGGGTGAGTAAGTGAGTGAGTGAGTGGGTGGGTGGGTGGGTGGGTGAGTGGGTGGGTGAGTGAGTGGGTGGGTGGGTGGGTGAGTGGGTGGGTGGGTGAGTGAGTGAGTGAGTGAGTGGGTGGGTGGGTGAGTGGGTGAGTGGGTGGGTGAGTGGGTGAGTAAGTGAGTGAGTGAGTGGGTGGGTGGGTGAGTGGGTGGGTGGGGTGGGTGGGTGGGTGGGTGGGGTGGGGGGGTGGGGTGGGTGGGTGGGGTGGGTGGGGTGGGTGGGTGGGTGATGCTTCTCTGTGTGTGTGTGTGTGTGGGGGGGTTTCTGTCTGTGGGGGGGATTTTCTGTAGGGTTTCTGTGGGTTTATGTGGGGTTTTCTGTGGGGTTTTCTGTGGGGTTTTCTGTGGGGTTCTGTGGGGTTTCTGTGGGTGTCTGTGAGTCTCTGTGGGGTCTCTGTGGGTCTCTGTGAGTCTCTGTGGGTGTCTGTGAGTCTCTGTGTGTCTCTGTGTGTCTCTGTGAGTCTCTGTGAGTCTGTGTGAGTCTCTGTGTGTCTCTGTGGGTCTCTGTGTGTCTCTGTGTGTCTCTGTGAGTCTCTGTGAGTCTCTGTGTGTCTCTGTGTGTCTCTGTGAGTCTCTGTGGGTCTCTGTGTGTCTCTGTGGGTCTCTGTGTGTCTCTGTGAGTCTCTGTGAGTCTGTGTGAGTCTCTGTGTGTCTCTGTGGGTCTCTGTGTGTCTCTGTGTGTCTCTGTGTGTCTCTGTGTGTCTCTGTGAGTCTCTGTGGGTGTCTGTGGGTCTCTGTGAGTCTCTGTGTGTCTCTGTGAGTCTCTGTGGGTTTATGTGAGTCTCTGTGAGTCTCTGTTAGTCTCTCTGAGTCTCTGTGTGTCTCTGAGTGTCTCTGTGAGTCTCTGTGGGTCTCTGTGTGTCTCTCTGTGGGTCTCTGTGTGTCTCTGTGAGTCTCTGTGGGTCTCTGTGTGTCTCTGTGTGTCTCTGTGTGTCTCTGTGGGTGTCTGTGGGTCTCTGTGGGTGTCTGTGAGTGTCTGTAGGTTCTGTGGGTGTGTGAGTCTCTCTGTGAGTCTCTGTGAGGTTCTGTGGGTTTCTGTGGGGTTTTCTGTGGGGTTCTGTGGGTTTCTGTGGGGTTCTGTGAGTCTCTCTGTGGGTCTCTGTGTGTCTCTGTAGGTTTCTGTGTGTCTCTGTGAGTGTCTGTGGGTTCTGTGGGTGTGTGAGTGTCTCTGTGAGTCTCTGTGAGTCTCTGTGAATCTCTGTGGGTGTCTGTGGGTGTCTGTGGGTGTCTGTGTGTCTCTGTGTCTCTCTGTGAGTCTCTGTGGGGTTCTGTGAGTCTCTGTGTCTCTCTGTGGGTCTCTGTGAGTCTCTGTGGGTCTCTGTGTGTCTCTGTGTGTTTCTGTGAGTCTCTGTGGGTCTCTGTGAGTCTCTGTGGGTCTCTGTGTGTCTCTGTGTGTTTCTGTGAGTCTCTGTGAGTCTCTGTGAGTCTCTGTCGGTCTGTGTTTGTCTCTGTGGGTTTCTGTGGGGTTTTCTGTGGGGTTCTGTGGGTGTGTGAGTGTCTCTGTGGGGTCTCTGTGTGGGTGTCTGTGGGTTTCTGTGGGGTTTTCTGTGGAGTCTCTGTGGGTTTCTGTGGGGTTCTGTGAGTCTCTCTGTGGGTTTCTGTGTATCTCTGTGGGGTTTCTGTGAGTGTCTGTGTGTCTCTGTGAGTGTCTGTGAGTCTCTGTGGGTCTCTGTGTGTCTCTGTGGGTCTCTGTGTGTCTCTGTGTGTCTCTGTGAGTCTCTGTGGGTGTCTGTGTGTCTCTGTGTCTCTGTGTGTCTGTGTGTCTGTGTGTGAGTCTCTTTGTGTGTCTCTGTGTCTCTGTGTGTCTCTGTGTGTCTCTCTCTGTCTCTGTGAGTCTCTGTGTGTCTCTGTGTGTGTCTCTGTGTGAATCTCTGTGTGAGTCTCTGTGTGTGTCTCTGTCTCACTGTGTCAATGTGTCTCTGTGTCTCACTGTGTCTCACTGTGTCTCTGTGTGTCTCTGTGTGAGTCTCTGTGTGTGTCTCTGTGTCTCTGTGTGTCTCTGTGTGTCTCTCTCTGTCTCTGTGAGTCTCTGTGTGTCTCTGTGTGAATCTCTGTGTGAGTCTCTGTGTGTGTCTCTGTCTCACTGTGTCTCTGTCTCACTGTGTCTCTGTCTCACTGTGTCTCACTGTGTCTCACTGTGTCTCACTGTGTCTCTGTGTGTGTCTCTGTCTCACTGTGTCTCTGTCTCCAGGTTCCTGTGGGAGTTTGGCCGGAGACATCCGCGTCTCTGTGTCTCTGTGTCTCTGTGTGTCTCTGTGTCTCTGTGTCTCTGTGTCTCTGTGTGTCTCTGTGTGTCTCTGTGTCTCTGTGTGTCTCTGTGTCTCTGTGTGTCTCTGTGAATCTCTGTGTGTCTCTGTGTGAGTCTCTGTGTCTCTGTGTCTCTGTGTGTCTCTGTGTCTCTGTGTGTCTCTGTGTGTCTCTGTGTCTCTGTGTGTCTCTGTGTCTCTGTGTCTCTGTGTGTGTCTCTGTGAATCTCTGTGTGTCTCTGTGTGAGTCTCTGTGTCTCTGTGTGTCTCTGTGTGTCTCTGTGTCTCTGTGTCTCTGTGTGTCTCTGTCTCACTGTGTCTCTGTGTCTCTGTGTCTCTGTGTGTCTCTGTGTCTCTGTGTGTCTCTGTGTCTCTGTGTGTCTCTGTGTCTCTGTGTCTCTGTGTGTCTCTGTGTCTCTGTGTGTCTCTCTCTGTCTCTGTGAGTCTCTGTGTGTCTCCGTGTATCTCTGTGTGTGTCTCTGTGAATCTCTGTGTAAATCTCTGTGTGAGTCTCTGTGTGTGTTTCTGTCTCACTGTGTCTCTGTCTCACTGTGTCTCTGTGTGTCTCTGTGTCTCTGTGTCTCTGTGTCTCTGTGTGTTTCTGTGTCTCTCTGTGTCTCTGTGTCTCTGTGTGTCTCTGTGTCTCTGTGTCTCTGTGTATCTCTGTGTGTGTCTCTGTGAATCTCTGTGTGAATCTCTGTGTGAGTCTCTGTCTCACTGTGTCTCTGTCTCACTGTGTCTCACTGTGTCTCTGTGTGTCTCTGTGTGTGTCTCTGTGTGTCTCTGTGTCTCTGTGTCTCTGTGTGTCTCTGTGAGTCTCTGTGAGTCTCTGTGTGTCTCTGTGTGTCTCCGTGTATCTCTGTGTGTGTCTCTGTGTGAGTCTCTGTGTGTGTCTCTGTCTCACTGTGTCTCTGTCTCACTGTGTCTCACTGTGTCTCTGTGTGTCTCTCTGTGTGTCTCTGTGTCTCTGTCTCTGTCTCCAGGTTCCTGTGGGAGTTTGGCCGGAGACATCCGCGTCTCTGTGTCTCTGTGTCTCTGTGTGTCTGTGTGTCTCTGTGTCTCTGTGTGTCTCTGTGTCTCTGTGTGTCTGTGTGTCTCTGTGTCTCTGTGTGTCTCTGTGTCTCTGTGTCTCTGTGTGTGTCTCTGTGAATCTCTGTGTGTCTCTGTGTGAGTCTCTGTGTCTCTGTGTGTCTCTGTGTGTCTCTGTGTCTCTGTGTCTCTGTGTGTCTCTGTCTCACTGTGTCTCTGTGTCTCTGTGTCTCTGTGTGTCTCTGTGTCTCTGTGTGTCTCTGTGTCTCTGTGTGTCTCTGTGTCTCTGTGTCTCTGTGTGTCTCTGTGTCTCTGTGTGTCTCTCTCTGTCTCTGTGAGTCTCTGTGTGTCTCCGTGTATCTCTGTGTGTGTCTCTGTGAATCTCTGTGTAAATCTCTGTGTGAGTCTCTGTGTGTGTTTCTGTCTCACTGTGTCTCTGTCTCACTGTGTCTCTGTGTGTCTCTGTATCTCTGTGTCTCTGTGTCTCTGTGTGTTTCTGTGTCTCTCTGTGTCTCTGTGTCTCTGTGTGTCTCTGTGTCTCTGTGTCTCTGTGTATCTCTGTGTGTGTCTCTGTGAATCTCTGTGTGAATCTCTGTGTGAGTCTCTGTCTCACTGTGTCTCTGTCTCACTGTGTCTCACTGTGTCTCTGTGTGTCTCTGTGTGTGTCTCTGTGTGTCTCTGTGTCTCTGTGTCTCTGTGTGTCTCTGTGAGTCTCTGTGAGTCTCTGTGTGTCTCTGTGTGTCTCCGTGTATCTCTGTGTGTGTCTCTGTGTGAGTCTCTGTGTGTGTCTCTGTCTCACTGTGTCTCTGTCTCACTGTGTCTCACTGTGTCTCTGTGTGTCTCTCTGTGTGTCTCTGTGTCTCTGTCTCTGTCTCCAGGTTCCTGTGGGAGTTTGGCCGGAGACATCCGCGTCTCTGTGTCTCTGTGTCTCTGTGTGTCTGTGTGTCTCTGTGTCTCTGTGTGTCTCTGTGTCTCTGTGTGTCTGTGTGTCTCTGTGTCTCTGTGTGTCTCTGTGTCTCTGTGTGTCTCCGTGTATCTCTGTGTGTGTCTCTGTGAATCTCTGTGTGAATCTCTGTGTGAGTCTCTGTGTGTGTCTCTGTCTCACTGTGTCTCTGTCTCACTGTGTCTCTGTCTCACTGTGTCTCACTGTGTCTCACTGTGTCTCTGTGTGTGTCTCTGTCTCACTGTGTCTCTGTCTCCAGGTTCCTGTGGGAGTTTGGCCGGAGACATCCGTGTCTTTGTGCCTCTGTGTCTCTGTGTGTCTCTGTGTGTCTTTGTGTCTCTGTGTCTCTGTGTGTCTCTGTTTGTCTCTCTGTGTGTCTCTGTGTGTCTCTGTTTGTCTCTGTCTCTGTGTCTCAGTGTGAGTCACTGTGTCTCACTCTCTCTGTGTCTCTGTGTGTCTCTGTGTGTCTCTGTGTCTCACTCTCTCTGTGTCTCTCTCTGTGTGTCACTGTGTCTCTGTGTCACTGTCTCTGTGTCTCTGTGTGTCTCTCTGTGTGTGTCTCTGTGTGTGTCTGTGTGTGTCTCTGTGTGTCTCTGTGAGTCTCTGTGTGTGTCTGTGTGTCTCTGTGTCTCACTGTGTCTCTCTGTCTCACTGTGTCTCACTGTGTCTCACTGTGTCTCTGTGTGTGTCACTGTGTCTCTGTGTCTCACTGTGTCTCTCTGTCTCACTGTGTCTCACTGTGTCTCACTGTGTCTCTGTGTGTGTCACTGTGTCTCTGTGTCTCACTGTGTCAATGTGTCTCTGTATCTCACTGTGTCTCTGTCTCTCTGTGTCTCTGTCTCCAGGTTCCTGTGGGAGTTTGGCCGGAGACATCCGCAGGCCGCTCTTAGCCAGGTGGAAGAGTTGGCAGAGATGTATGTCAAGATGACCGACAGTTGTTGTGGCAAACTCCACTCAAAGTCCTGTTTCACTGAGCAGGTGATGATGGTGGTGGTGGTGATGGTGGTGGTGGTGATGGTGGTGGGAGTGGTGGTGGTGGTGGTGAGGGTGGTGGTGGTGGTGGTGGGGGTGGTGGTGGTTGTGGTGGTGGTGGTGATGGTGGTGATGTTGGTGATGGTGGTGATGGTGGTGGTATCATCATAATCATCATCAGTAGTGAGTGACTGATTGATTGACTGATTGAGTGACTGACTGACTGAGTGACTGACTGACTTAGTGACTGACTTGGTGACTGGGTGACTGACTGAGTGACTGATTGACTGAGTGACTGACTGACTTAATGACTTACTACTGAGTAACTGACTTAGTGACTGAATAACTGACTTAGTGACTGATTGATTGACTGATTGACTGCCTGACTGAATGACTCGCTGAGTGACTGAGTGACTGACTAACTGACTGACTGAGTGACTGATTGACTGAGTGACTGACTGACTTAGTGACTGACTGAGTAACTGACTTCGTGACTGGGTGACTGACTGACTGATTGACTGATTGAGCGACTGACTGAATGAATGGCTGAGTGACTGAGTGACTGACTGAGTGACTGAGTGAGTGAGTGACTGAGTGACTGAGTGAGTGACTGAGTGACTGAGTGAGTAACTGACTTAGTGACTGGGTGACTGACTGATTGATTGACTTACTGAATGACTCGCTGAGTGACTGAGTGACTGACTGACTGATTGACTGATTGAGCGACTGACTGAATGAATGGCTGAGTGACTGAGTGACTGACTGACTTAGTGACTGACTGAGTAACTGACTGAGTAACTGACTTAGTGACTGACTGATTGACTGATTGAATGACTGAGTGCCTGATTGACTGACTGAGTGAGTGACTGATTAACTGACTGACTGACTGAGTGACTGACTGAGTGACTGACTTAGTGACTGACTGATTGACTGATTGACTGACTGAGTGCCTGATTGACTGACTGAGTGACTGACTGATTAACTGACTGACTGGGTGACTAAGTGACTGACTGGGTGACTGACTTAGTGACTGACTGACTAACTGAGTGACTGATTGACTGACTGGGTGACTGACTTAGTGACTGACTGACTAACTGAGTGACTGACTGAGTGACTGACTGACTGACTGACTGACTGGGTGACTGACTTAGTGACTATCTCTCTCTCTCACCATCAGCGCCATACCATCCACATGGAGATTCGCCATGCCTATGCTGAGGTGCAACACATTTGTGGGTCTCTGCATTCTCGTGGTGAAGAGACGTTTATTCAGAGGTGAGTAGCACTCACCCACTCACTCACCAAATCACTCACCCACTCACAACAACAACAACCGCCATTCGCCACTAAGTGGCGGTGACGTCACCACGACGCTTGTGCCAGGCTATGTGCACCCTGAGGCCACGTGAAGTGTCGAACGCCCGCTGGCAGGTGGTCACGGGGCAGACCCAGGTGCCACGGGTCGACTGACTGAGATGACTGGCTGATGCACCACCTGTGCCCCCTACTGTGCCAACCTGCTGTGCTTTAGCCACCCGGCGCTCCGCTCGCTGTTGTGAGCGTCGCTCCTCCGCCCTCCGTTGTTGTTGGAGGGCGACTGCCTCCAACTGCCCAGTAGCATCCTTCACGAGCCTCCTCCACAGAGGCCGATCTTGACACCGCTGGTACCAGTCATCGGCAAGTCCACTCAGCTCCACGTCCTCCTGTACCACATCACTCCATCTCTTCTCTAGCCCGTGCCGCGCCCGCTTAGCCCCCTCAATCCGGCCAAACAAAAGCTGTTTCGGCATGCGGTGGCTGGGCATGCGGGCTACATGACCCAGCCATCGCAGCCTTGCCTCCCGGAGGAGCTCACCGATGGGACCCTGCCCAGATCTTTCAAGGATTTGTGAGCTCCTCACACAATCCAGTCTGGTTAAACCCAGGATGGATCGTAGGCAGGCCAGCCTAAATGTTTCTAACCGGCGAAGATGTTCCATTAGGGGGGTCCACGTTTCGCAAGCGTAGAGAAGGGAGGGAATGACCGTGGCCGAGAAGACCTGAAGCTTAGTGCGGAGCGACAGACCAGGTAGCTTCCACACAGCGTTACGCAACCGATGAAAAGATATTGCCGCTCGACTGATTCGGAGTGAGACCTCTGCTGTTAAACTGGAGCCAGTCATAAGCACACTGCCCAGGTATGGGAAACTCTCCACTCTCTCCACAACTGCCCCATCACCGATTGGGAGTTGTGGGGGTGGAGTGTCCGATGGTACAAAATACCCAGGCAGGTGCTTAGTTTTGGTGGGGCTGATGGTAAGGCCCCACCTCTTAGTGGCACGCTCCAGTCTCAGCAGCAGCGTCTCCAACTCCTCCTCTGACTGAGCAGCTATTACCAAGTCATCAGCATACATAACGTGGTTGAGCAATAGGGAGCCATCCCTTGACCGCACCCGGGCATCGATTAGCCTCCCATTATATCTGTACCATATGGAGATTCCCCCGGTACAGCTAATGAAGGCTTCACGAACTACGTGGTCAAAATAGATGTTAAATAATGTGGGAGCCAGAGGACATCCCTGTCGCACCCCAAGGTGTACAGGGAATGGCTCTGACTCCCGGCCACGTAGTTTTACCCGGGCCCGCTCACCATCATGAAGGTCCTTAATGATCGTGAGCAGAGGGTCAGGTACTCCAAAAGCACGAAGAACGACCCAGAGCCCAGGCCTACTGATGGTATCATAGGCCTTGACCAGGTCAATAAAGCAGAGATGTAGGTCTTGTTGGAATTCCCTACACCTCTGCTGTAGCAGACGGACAGAAAATATGGCATCTGTGCAGGACCGCCCTTTCCTGAAACCGCATTGGGGCTCCGCAAGCCTCTCCTCAGCATGCCTGGCAAGGCGATGCTGAATAATCCTTGCCAGGACCTTTCCCGGCACACTGAGGAGTGAGATGCCCCTGTAGTTGTTACAGTCTGTGCGGTCCCCCTTCTTAAAAAGGGGGACCACCAGGGCATCCTTCCAATCCTGCGGAACCCGTCCAGTGGTCCAGACTGTTGTTATGATGTCATATAGGGCAGTCTGTGCACAAACGCCACCCTCCCTCAGCATTTCGCTTGGGAGATCATCTCTGCCCGCTGCCTTTCCTGGTCTCAGACTCCGGATCGCCTTCAATACTTCCTCAGCAGATGGCACCTCAGCCAGCCACTCACAGGGGGTGACTTCATCCAATATTTGAGGCACCGCAGCCTCAGCAGGGTCATCCTCACTTTGTGCCACGGTGTTTTCCTGGCTGAGGGATTTTCCCTCCCCCAGGACCTCACAGAAATGCTCAGCAAATCTGCGAACCTGTTCCTGGGGGTCGGAAATTGGATCACCGTTTCTTCCCCTAATGATGGTAATAGGTGTGGCGCTGCAGGTTACTTTTTTGATGGAGTTAAATAGAGATTTGTGATCACGGGCCACTGAGGCAGACTCCATCTCCTCAGCAACCCGCGACCACCACCCATCCTTGCAGCGCCTCACGGCTCTCCGAACCTCCGAGCGAAGGCTGCGGTAAGCCTCCTCATTCTCTGACGTGGGATTCTGTAGCCGATGACAGTGGGCCTGTCGCTTTTTCTCAACCATCCTGAACAACTCCTCTGTCATCCAGGGTGTCTGGGGAGGTCTGGACCGCGTACCCAAAGCAGCCATTGCAGCTGCATGAGTCACAGTCCTAAACCTCGCCCATTTACCCTCGACATCAGGAGGAGTGGGGGACGATGCCAATCCCAGCCGCAAGCGATGATGAAATTCTCGCTTGCAACTTTCATCAGATAACTGAGACCAGGCCACTTTAGGTTGGAATGGGGTCCTGGGTGTACACCCACCACCGGAGTGGAAGAATGGCAGGCGCATCTTACAGATGACTAGTCGATGGTCAGAAGGCAGATCAGCTCCACGGTAGGTCCTGGTGTCAAGGACATGGGCTCGCATTCGCTGGTCCGTCACTATGTAGTCCAGCAGATGTTCTTGCTTGGACCCGGCATGCATCCATGATGTTGTGTGGATGCGCCGATGCCGGAACAGCGTGTTGGTAATTACAAGCCCATGGGCTGCACAACAATCTAGCAGCCTCCTACCGTTGTTATTGAGCTGATCTGGCCCATGCCCTCCAATCACTCCAGACCAGGTGCCAGTATCATGACCAACTCGGGCATTGAAGTCACCCAACATGATGACTCTATCCCGAGGGGCCACTTTAGCCAGCACCTGTGACAGGAGGTCATAGAAGGCATCTGACTCATCGGCTTTGCCTGCATCCCTCCACGGATGTTCATCTTCGGTGGGGGCATAAGTAACCACGACCACCATTCCTCGCCTCCGGTTGATGGGAAGGCGAGCCCAAAGTAGCCTGGGGCTTACAGCTTCCCACACCTCACCGCCACGCTCCCACGCCCCCTTCATTCTTTTGTTCAGAAGAAGAGCCACACCCTGTTGTTTGGCAGTCTGCTGCCCCGAGTAGAGGACTGTCCACCCCTCATGGTGGCAGGAGCCAGAGCCGGTCCACCGGACCTCCTGAATGCCGCAGAGATCCAGGCGGTACCGGTCCAGCTCCCGACAGAGGAGTGGCAGCCTCTCCTCTGCAGTGAGCGTTCGAACATTCCACGTGGCCACCCGTAGTGGCTTTTCGTTGTTTCTGGAGTAGCCCCGAGGGTAGGTATTCAATCTCCTGGCTCCGCCAATTGGGGTTTGGCCAGGAGACGTCATAGACGCCTGGCCCCCCGGGGCCTCCGGCACAAGCTTACCCACTCACCCACTCACCCACCCACTCACTCACCCACTCACTCACCCACTCACCCACTCACTCACCCACTCACCCACTCACTCACCCACTCACTCACTCACTCACCCACTCACTCACCAAATCACTCACCCACTCACCCACTCACCCACCCACTCACCAAATCACTCACCCACTCACTCACCCACTCACCCACTCACTCACCCACTCACTCACCCACTCACCCACTCACTCACCCACTCACTCACTCACTCACCCACTCACTCACCAAATCACTCACCCACTCACCCACTCACTCACCCACTCACCCACTCACCCACTCACCCACTCACTCACCAAATCACTCACCCACTCACTCACCAAATCACTCACCCACTCACTCACCCACTCACCCACTCACCAAATCACCCACCCACTCACTCACCAAATCACTCACCCACTCACCAAATCACTCACCCACTCACCCACTCACTCACCAAATCACTCACCCACTCACCCACTCACCAAATCACTCAACCACTCACCCACTCACTCACTCACTCACCCACTCACTCACTCACCCACTCACTCACTCACCCACCCACTCACTCACTCACTCACCCACTCACCAAATCACTCACCCACTCACTCACTCACCAAATCACTCAACCACTCACCCACTCACCAAATCACTCAACCACTCACCCACTCACTCACTCACCCACTCACTCACCCACCCACTCACTCACTCACTCACCCACCCACTCACCCACTCACTCACTCACTCACCCACTCACCCACTCACTCACTCACTCACCCACTCACTCACTCACTCACCCACTCACTCACCCACTCACTCACCCACTCACTCACCAAATCACTCACCCACTCACCCACTCACTCACCCACTCACTCACTCACTCACCCACTCACTCACCCACTCACCAAATCACTCACCCACTCACCCACTCACTCACCCACTCACTCACTCACTCACCCACTCACTCACCCACTCACCAAATCACTCACCCACTCACCCACTCACTCACCAAATCACTCACCCACTCACCCACTCACTCACCCACTCACTCACCCACTCACCAAATCACCCACTCACCCACTCACTCACCCACTCACTCACTCACTCACCCACTCACTCACCCACTCACCAAATCACTCACCCACTCACCCACTCACTCACCAAATCACTCACCCACTCACCCACTCACTCACCCACTCACTCACCCACTCACCAAATCACTCACCCACTCACCCACTCACTCACCAAATCACTCACCAAATCACTCACCAAATCACTCACCCACTCACTCACCAAATCACTCACCCACTCACCCACTCACTAACCCACTCACCCACTCACTCACTCACTCACCCACTCACTCACTCACCCACTCACCAAATCACTCACTCACTCACCAAATCACTCACCCACTCACCCACTCACTCACCCACTCACCCACTCACTCACTCACCCACTCACCAAATCACTCACCCACTCACCAAATCACTCAACCACTCACCCACTCACCCACTCACCAAATCACTCACCCACTCACCAAATCACTCACCCACTCACCCACTCACTCACTCACTCACCAAATCACTCACCCACTCACCCACTCACTCACCCACTCACCCACTCACTCACTCACTCACCCACTCACCAAATCACTCACCCACTCACCAAATCACTCAACCACTCACCCACTCACCCACTCACCAAATCACTCACCCACTCACCCACTCACCAAATCACTCACCCACCCACTCACTCACCCACTCACCAAATCACTCACCCACTCACCAAATCACTCAACCACTCACCCACTCACCCACTCACCAAATCACTCAACCACTCACTCACTCACCCACTCACTCACCCACTCACCCACTCACCAAATCACTCACCCACTCACCCACTCACCAAATCACTCACCCACTCACCCACTCACTCACTCACCCACCCACCCACTCACTCACTCACCCACTCACCAAATCACTCAACCACTCACCCACTCACTCACCCACTCACCAAATCACTCAACCACTCACCCACTCACCAAATCACTCACCCACTCACCCACTCACCAAATCACTCACTCACTCACCCACTCACTCACTCACTCACCAAATCACTCACCCACTCACCCACTCACCCACTCACCAAATCACTCACCCACTCAACCACTCACCCACTCACCCACCCACTCACTCACTCACCCACTCACCCACTCACCAAATCACTCACCCACTCACCCACTCACCAAATCACTCACCCACTCACAAATCACTCACCTACTCACCCACCCACTCACCCACTCACTCACTCACTCACCCACTCACTCACTCACTCACCCACTCACCAAATCACTCACCCACTCACCCACTCACCAAATCACTCACCCACTCACCCACTCACCAAATCACTCACCCACTCACCCACTCACCAAATCACTCACCCACTCACCAAATCACTCACCCACTCACCCACTCACTCACTCACTCACCCACTCACCCACTCACCAAATCACTCACCCACTCACCCACTCACCAAATCACTCACCCACCCACTCACTCACCCACTCACCAAATCACTCACCCACTCACCCACTCACCAAATCACTCACCCACTCACCCACTCACCAAATCACTCACCCACTCACCCACTCACTCACTCACTCACCCACTCACCCACTCACCAAATCACTCACCCACTCACCCACTCACCAAATCACTCAACCACTCACCCACTCACTCACTCACTCACCCACTCACTCACTCACTCACTCACCAAATCACTCACCCACTCACCCACTCACCAAATCACTCACCCACTCACCCACTCACTCACTCACTCACCCACTCACCAAATCACTCACCCACTCACCCACTCACCAAATCACTCACCCACTCACCAAATCACTCACCCACTCACCAAATCACTCACCCACTCACCCACTCACTCACTCACTCACCCACTCACCCACTCACCAAATCACTCACCCACTCACCAAATCACTCACCCACTCACCCACTCACCCACTCACCCACTCACCAAATCACTCACCCACTCACCCACTCACTCACTCACTCACCCACTCACTCACTCACTCACCCACTCACTCACTCACCCACCCACTCACTCACTCACCCACTCACCCACTCACTCACCAAATCACTCACTCACTCACCCACTCACCAAATCACTCAACCACTCACCCACTCACCCACTCACCAAATCACTCACCCACTCACTCACTCACCCACTCACTCAACCACTCACCAAATCACTCACTCACTCACGCACTCACCAAATCACTCACCCACTCACCCACTCACCCACTCACCCACTCACCAAATCACTCACCCACTCACCCACTCACTCACTCACTCACCCACTCACTCACTCACCCAATCACTCACTCACCCACCCACTCACTCACTCACCCACTCACCCACTCACCAAATCACTCACCCACTCACCAAATCACTCAACCACTCACCACATCACTCAACCACTCACCCACTCACTCACTCACTCACCCACTCACTCACTCACCCACTCACTCACTCACTCACCCACCCACCCACTCACTCACTCACTCACCCACCCACCCACTCACCCACCCACTCACTCACCCACTCACCCACCCACTCACCCACCCACCCACCCACCTACTCACTCACCCAACCACCCACTCACCCACTCACTCACTCACCCACTCACTCAACCACCCACCCACTCACTCACCCACTCACCCACCCACCCACCCACTCACTCACTCACCCACCCACCCACTCACTCACCCACCCACTCACCCACTCACCAAATCACTCACTCACCCACTCACTCACTCACTCACCCACCCACTCAATCACCCACCCACCCACCCACTCACTCACTCACCCACTCACTCACTCACTCACCCAACCACCCACTCACCCACTCACCCACTCACTCACTCACCCACTCACTCACTCACTCACCCACTCACTCACTCACTCACCCACTCACTCACTCACTCACTAACTCACTCACCCACCCACTCACTCACCGACCCACCCACTCACTCACTCACCCACTCACTCACCCACTCGCTCACCCACTCACCCAACCGCTCACTCACTCACCCACTCACCCACTCACCCACTCACTCACTCACTAACTCACTCACTCACCCACCCACCCACTCACTCACCCACTCACTCACCAAATCACTCACTCACCCACTCACCCACTCACTCACCAAATCACTCACCCACTCACCCACCCACCCACTCACTCACCCACTCACCAAATCACTCAACCACACACTCACTCACCCACTCACTCACTTACCCACTCACCCACTCACCCACTCACTCACTCACCCACTCGCTCACCCACTCACCCAACCACTTACTCACCCACTCACCCACTCACCAAATCACTCAACCACTCACCCACCCACTCACTCACTCACCCACTCACTTACCCACCCACCCACTCAATCACCCACTCACTCACCCACTCACCAAATCACTCAACCACTCACCCACCCACTCACTCACTCACTCACCCACTCACTTACCCACCCACTCACCCACTCACTCACCCACTCACCCACCCACCCAACCACCCACTCACCCACTCACTCACTCACCAAATCACTCACCCACTCACCAAATCACTCAACCACTCACCAAATCACTCAACCACTCACCCACCCACCCACTCACTCACCCACCCACTCACTCACTCACCCACTCACCCACTCACTCACCAAATCACTCACTCACTCACCCACTCACCAAATCACTCAACCACTCACCCACTCACCAAATCACTCACCCACTCACTCACTCACCCACTCACTCAACCACTCACCAAATCACTCACTCACTCACGCACTCACCAAATCACTCACCCACTCACCCACTCACCCACTCACCCACTCACCAAATCACTCACCCACTCACCCACTCACTCACTCACCCACCCACTCACCCACTCACCCACTCACCCACTCACCCACCCACCCACTCACTCACTCACCCACTCACTCACCCACTCACCCACTCACCCACTCACTCACCCACTCACTCACCCACCCACTCACTCACTCACCCACCCACTCACTCACCCACCCACTCACCCACTCACCCACCCCACTACCCACCCCCCCACTAACCCCCCCCACTATCTCACCCCCCCACTATCTCACCCCCCCACTATCTCACCCCCCCACCACCACAGAGAGGTCACTCTCCTCTCCCAGAAGGCCCCAAACGCCTCCTTTGAGAAAGTTTCTCAGCTGGCCCGACACTTCCTCAGCCTGGCTAAGAAATGTTGTGCACCAGATCATGCAGCTGGGTGCTTCTTGGAGGAGGTGAGTCACTTAGTCACTCAGTCAGTCACTTAGTCAGTCAGTCAGTCACTCAGTCAGTCAGTCAGTCAGTCACTCAGTCAGTCAGTCACTCACTTAGTCAGTCAGTCAGTCACTCAGTCAGTCAGAAATGTTGTGCACCAGATCATGCAGCTGGGTGCTTTTTGGAGGAGGTGAGTCAGTCACTCAGTCAGTCACTCAGTCAGTCACTTAGTCAGTCAGTCAGTTAGTCAGTCAGTCACTCACTCAGTCAGTCACTCAGTCAGTCACTCAGTCAGTCACTCAGTCAGTCAGAAGTGTTGTGCACCAGATCATGCAGCTGGGTGCTTCTTGGAGGAGGTGAGTCACTCAGTCAGTCACTCAGTCAGTCACTCAGTCAGTCAGTCACTCAGTCACTCAGTCAGTCAGAAATGTTGTGCACCAGATCATGCAGCTGGGTGCTTCTTGGAGGAGGTGAGTCAGTCACTCAGTCAGTCACTCAGTCAGTCAGTCAGTCACTCAGTCACTCACTTAGTCAGTCAGTCAGTCAGTAAGTCACTCAGTCACTCAGTCAGTCAGAAATGTTGTGCACCAGATCATGCAGCTGGGTGCTTCTTGGAGGAGGTGAGTCAGTCACTCAGTCAGTCACTCAGTCAGTCACTCACTCAGTCAGTCAGAAGTGTTGTGCACCAGATCATGCAGCTGGGTGCTTCTTGGAGGAGGTGAGTCACTTAGTCAGTCACTTAGTCAGTCAGTCAGTCAGTCAGTCAGTCAGTCAGTCAGTCAGTTAGTCAGCCAGTCACTCAGTCAGTCACTCAGTCACTCACTCAGTCAGTCAGAAGTGTTGTGCACCAGATCATGCAGCTGGGTGCTTCTTGGAGGAGGTGAGTCACTTAGTCAGTCACTTAGTCAGTCAGTCAGTCAGTCACTCAGTCACTCACTCAGTCAGTCACTCAGTCAGTCACTCAGTCACTCACTCAGTCAGTCACTCAGTCACTCAGTCACTCAGTCAGTCAGTCACTCAGTCAGTCACTCAGTCACTCAGTCAGTCACTCACTCAGTCAGTCAGTCACTCAGTCACTCAGTCAGTCAGTCAGTCACTCACTCAGTCAGTCACTCAGTCAGTCACTCACTCAGTCAGTCACTCACTCACTCAGTCAGTCAGTCACTCAGTCACTCAGTCAGTCAGTCAGTCACTCACTCAGTCACTCACTCAGTCACTCACTCACTCAGTCAGTCACTCACTCAGTCACTCAGTCAGTCACTCACTCAGTCAGTCAGTCACTCAGTCAGTCACTCAGTCACTCAATCACTCAGTCAGTCACTCAGTCACTCAGTCAGTCACTCAGTCACTCAGTCACTCACTCAGTCACTCAGTCAGTCACTCACTCAGTCAGTCAGTCACTCAGTCAGTCACTCAGTCACTCAATCACTCAGTCAGTCACTCACTCAGTCAGTCACTCAGTCACTCACTCAGTCAGTCACTCACTCACTCAGTCACTCACTCACTCAGTCAGTCACTCACTCAGTCACTCAGTCAGTCACTCACTCAGTCAGTCAGTCACTCAGTCAGTCACTCAGTCACTCAATCACTCAGTCAGTCACTCAGTCACTCAGTCAGTCACTCAGTCACTCAGTCAGTCACTCAGTTACTCAATCACTCACTCAGTCACTCAGTCAGTCAGTCAGTCAGTCACTCAGTCAGTCAGTCACTCACTCAGTCAGTCACTCAGTCACTCAGTCAGTCACTCAGTCACTCAATCACTCACTCAGTCACTCAGTCAGTCAGTTAGTCAGTCAGTCAGTCACTCAGTCAGTCACTCAGTCAGTCACTCAGTCACTCAGTCAGTCACTCAGTCACTCAATCACTCACTCAGTCACTCAGTCAGTCACTCAGTCACTCAATCACTCACTCAGTCACTCAGTCAGTCACTCAGTCAGTCAGTCAGTCACTCAGACACTCAGTCAGTCACTCAGTCAGTCAGTCACTCAGTCAGTCATTCAGTCAGTCACTCACTCACTCAGTCAGTCAGTCAGGCAGTCACTTAGTCAGTCAGTTAATCACTCAGTCAGTCAGTCACTCAGTCAGGCAGTCAGTCAGTCAGTCATTCACATAGTCAGTCACTCAGTCACTCAGTCACTCACTCACCATCACCATCACCACCATCACCATCACCACCATCACCATCACCACCAACACCATCACCACCATCACCACCATCACCACCATCACCATCACCACAACCATCACCACTACCACCATCACCATCACCACCATCACCACCACCCTCACCACTCACTCAGTCAGTCAGTCACTCAGTCACTCACTCACCATCACCACCATCACCACCATCATCACCACCACCACCATCACCACCACCACCACCATCATCACCACCACCACCACCATCACCACCACCATCACCACCACCACCATCACCACCACCACCACCACCACCATCACCACCACCACCATCACCACCACCACCACCATCATCACCACCACCACCACCATCACCACCATCACCACCATCATCACCACCACCACCACCATCACCACCACCATCACCACCACCACCATCACCACCACCACCACCACCACCATCACCACCACCACCATCACCACCACCACCACCATCATCACCACCACCACCACCACCATCACCACCACCATCACCACCACCACCATCACCACCACCACCATCATCACCACCATCACCATCACCACCATCACCACCATCACCACCACCACCATCATCACCACCATCACCATCACCACCACTACCACCACCATCATCACCACCACCACCACCACCACCATCACCATCACCACCTTCACCACAACTCCACATCCTCCCATTCCGTCTCTAAATGTCATCCTGAATGTGTCCATGTCTCTCCAACCACCACCACCACCACCACCTCCTCCTCCTCCTCCTCCTCCTCCACCTCCTCCTCCATCTCCACCTCCTCCACCTCCTCCTCCTCTTCCTCCTCATCCACCTCCTCCTCCTCCTCCTCCTCCTCCACCTCCTCCACCTCCTCCACCTCCACCTCCTCCTCCTCCTCCACCTCCTCCTCCACCTCCTCCTCCACCTCCTCATCCACCTCCTCGTCCACCTCCTCCTCCTCCTCCTCCACCTCCTCCACCTCCTCCTCCTCCTCCACCTCCTCTCCTCCTCCTCCTCCTCCACCCCCTCCTCCACCTCCTCCACCTCCTCCCATTCCGTCTCTAAATGTCATCCTGAATGTGTCCATGTCTCTCCAACCATCATCACCACCACCACTATCACCACCACCACCATCACCACCACCACCACCATCACCACCACCACCATCACCACCACCACCACCATCACCACCATCACCACCACCACCATCACCACCACCACCATCACCACCACCACCACCACCATCACCACCACCACCATCACCATCACCACCATCACCACCACCACCACCATCACCATCACCACCATCACCACCACCACCATCACCACCACCATCATCACCACCACCATCACCACCACCATCACCACCACCACCATCACCACCACCACCACCACAACTCAACCTCCTCCCAATCCGTCTCTAAATGTCATCCTGAATGTGTCCATGTCTCTCCAACCATCACCACCACCACCATCATCACCACCACCACCACCACCACCACCATCACCACCACCACCATCACCACCACCACCACCATCACCACCACCATCACCATCACCACCACCACCACAACTCCACCTCCTCCCAATCCGTCTCTAAATGTCATCCTGAATGTGTCCATGTCTCTCCAACCACCACCACCACCACCACCACCTCCTCCTCCTCCCTCCTCCTCCTCCTCCTCCTCGTCACCAGCGCTACGCCATACACGATGAGGTGTGCCGTGACGACGAGGTGGTGGATCAAGTTGGGGGCCTGGCCACGTGCTGTCGAATGAGTGGAACCTCGCGGGCCAAGTGCCTGGCACAGCTACCCAGGGATCTGGGTCGGCACGGGAACAGGGAGACGCCGGAGTTTGACGAGCTGAAGATCTGCGAGTTGAGGAGGGATAACCCAGCTGTTCTGATGGAGAAGTGAGTTGGTGGTGGTGGTGGTGATGATGGTGGTGGTTGTTGTGGTTGTTGTGGTGGTTGTTGTGGTTGTTGTGGTGGTCGTGGTGGTGGTTGTGGTGATGGTGGTGGTGATGGGGCACACGGAGACGCCGGAGTTTGACGAGCTGAAGATCTGCGAGTTGAGGAGGGATAAGCCAGCTGTTCTGATGGAGAAGTGAGTTGGTGGTGGTTGTTGTGGTGGTGGTGGTTGTTGTGGTTGTTGTGGTTGTTGTGGTGATGATGGTGGTGGTGATGGTGGTGGTGATGGGGAACAGGGAGACGCCGGAGTTTGACGAGCTGAAGATCTGCGAGTTGAGGAGGGATAACCCAGCTGTTCTGATGGAGAAGTGAGTTGGTGGTGGTTGTTGTGGTTGTTGTGGTGATGGTGGTGATGGTGGTGATGATGGTGATGATGGTGGTGGTTGTTGTGGTGATGATGGTGGTGGTGATGGGGAACAGGGAGACGCCGGAGT